GCCACCGCAGCCTCGCCTGCTGGGCTCCGGCGATCCTTCCGCTTCAGCCTTCCAAGTAGCTGGAACTACAGGTGCGCGCTACCACGCCCAGCTAATTTCTGATTTATTGTAGAGATGAGGTCTCGCTGCCCAGGCGGGTCTTGAATCCGCGGGCTTAGGCAATCCACTCAACTCAGCCTCCCAAATGCGCGGGATTACAGGCTGAGCCACCGAGCCCGGCTCATTGTATTTGTTTTACAAAAACTTTCTTTTTACACATTTTACAAATGTAAGTTTTTAGTTTGAAACAACTTCAAGCTTACAGAAGTTTAAGAAATATACAAAATATTTTTCCCTAATAATTAGAGTAAGTTGCTGATATGATTCCCATTACTCCTGAACACTTGACTATGTAATTCTTTTTTAAAAAATTTATATTTTATTTTTAAAATGTGTGGTACAATTCAGGATTAGGTATACAAGTAGTCATCATACAGGTAAAGTTTGGGCCTCCCTTTGGTCCCCACTTTTCCTTGAGATCAGGTACCCTCATTGATGTTATATCCCCACCCCCACCCCGGTAGTTTCCCGCTACTGCGAATCCCTTTTTTATAGTATTATGGTAGATGTTCAGGGTCCACTTATGAGTGAGAACACGTGGTCCTCTGTTCTTTGTTTCTGTGATAGATCACTAAGTATGACAGACTCTAAATCCGTAACATTTTCTTTTCTTTATCTTACTTTATTGTAAGAATATTATATATATGTATGTATGTGTGTGTGTGTATATATAAAATACATGGAACACACAATCTTGTTATTTTGTTAATTGACTGTTTATATTATCAGTATGGCTTCTGGTCAATAGCAGGCTATTATTAGTAGTAAGTCCTTAGGGAGTCAAACGTTCTATGTGGATTTTCAACTGTACAGGGGATGAGCAGTTTAATTTTACCTATGCACAAATTACCAAGAAACATTTGGCAATTCAAGGTATCTGTACCTTAAGGTGGCGCCTTGTTGGCTGCATATATTGCCCTAAAGTCAAACAGTCCACATCTGCTTCACGAAGTGCTGTAGGAAAAAAAACACATATTACATTAGCAGATGTTTTTACAGCATGGAAACTGTTGATCTAAGCATAATTTTTGTGAGGAATATTTCAAAACAGTGTGGCCTTTATGCTCGTCCATAATCCTCATACTGGGGAATAAGACAAACCTATTCATTCAAAAGGGTTTATGTGCTAGGGACTGTGGTAAGGACTGAAAACAGGAATGATTAAGATCATCATGTGAGACTGACAAATACAGGAGAAATGCCTCTAATACTAGGGCATAAATGCTAAACACAAGTGGAGGGTGTTTTGAGAGCAGAGGTCTTTCCTTTAGAAAGGAAAGGCAAAGGAAATATTATCTTCCAAAGCCTGAAAACTCCCATAATATAGACCAAACATGCTGGATTAGAATTCTACTCAATGCCCAAGTTAAGCTCTAGGGTGCAGTTTGACCTGTGACATGTCAGAATCTTTCGAATAACTGTGTGAAATGTGGCAAAGAGCCGCAGCTTTTAATCACTACCTAAAATTACTACTCTTTGGACTACTAAATAACAGCAAGTAGGCAAGGACTCTCAGATCAAATAGAAACTTTTAAATTTCAAAGAATCACAGGCTGGGCTCTGTGGCTCAGTCCGTAATCTTGCACTTTGGGAGGCCGAGGTGAGTGGATTGCTTGAACCCGCGGGTTTGAGACTCACCTGGGCAACTTGGCGAGACCTCATCTCTACAATAAATCAAAAAATTAGCCAAGCATGGTAGTGCACGCCTATAGTTCCAGCTACTTGGAAGGCTGAGGCGGAAGGATCGCCGGAGCCCAGCAGGTCGACGCTGCGGTGGCCGGGAGCAGCCACTGCACTCCAGTCTGGGCGACAGAGTGAGACTCCAACTCAAAAAAAAAAAAAAGAATCACAAAGTGCTGGGCATGGTGGTTCATGCATTTAATCCTAGCACTTTGGGAGACTGAGGCAAGAGGACTGCCTGAGCCCAGGGGTTCAAGACCAGCCTGGGTAACTTGGCAAGACCTCGTCTCTACAATAAATCAAAGAATCAGCCAGGCATGGTGGCATGCGTCTGTAGTTCCAGCTACTTGGAAGGCTGAGGCAGAAGGATTGTCTGGGTCAAGCAGGTCGAGGCTACAGTGGCCGTGAGCATGCCACTGCACTCTAGCCTAAGTGACAGAGTGAGACTCTGACTAAAAAACAATAAAAATTTAAAAAATAAATAAAAAGAATCACAAAGTAAACAGTCTTATGGGACTAAGGTTTGGCACAGTTTAAAGCACACCATGTCCTATGACAATGCTGTAAGTAAGCTCTTTCTCAAGGGGCTGAATTGGTCTTATACGCCTACAAATTGTCAGTGCCTGGTACCCAGTTGGCTCTCAAAACCTGTCCAATGACAGAATGAGAAAGGTGGTTAGAATTGTGTTTTTTCTGGATAAAAGGGTACGGAATAAAATGGGATAAAAATTCCATATCCTTTTTTTTTTTTAAAGTAGGAGTCTCACTCTGTCGCCCAGGCTGGAGTGCAGTGGCACACTCACGGCCACCACATTCTCAACTTGCTGGCCTCAGGGAATCCTTCTGCCTCAGCCTTTCAAGTAGCTGGAACCACAGGTCTGAGCCACCATGCCTGGCTGTTTTTTGGATCTATTGTAGAGATGAGGTCTCGCCAAGTTGCCCAGGCTGGTTTCAAATCCCTGGACTCAGGCAATCCTCTTGCCTCAGCCTCCCAAAGTGCTGGGACTACAGGCATGAGTCACCACACCCGGCCAACATCCTATATCCTGAGCGTGATGCCTATCACCCGATGAAGTTCTAAGAAAACATATTTCCTTTCCTTTTTATACAGCTGTTTACAGTCATACACTTACTCTGTTCTTACTGGACTGAGACTGGAGAAGAAACTTAAATCTAACAGGGCCTTTGAAGGGGGTGGGTTCCTGATATTACTCAAATTAAATAGACAAGTTTATTCATCTTTCAATTTCTTTACCTTTCATTGTTGCATATATTTGCTCATCATTCTCGCCTAATCCCAACATTATAGATGTTTTAGAAATAACATTGGGCTGAACTGCCTTGGCATGCTTCAGTACACACAGAGACTGGTCAAAATTGGCTCGGGGATCACGAACTTTCCTGGAAAATAGCAGGTCTGTTGTCAGCAAGAATAACCACAAGTTCAACTAAGTACATCGTTATGCAAGTAACCTGAAAGACCTGAAAAGTACACTCTGCACATTATATTACATCACATGGTTCAACAGTAGCATTTGTGCACAAATGCCTAACTAGTAATTTAGGAAAGCAAATAAGACCTTACTGGCCTCCATACATCTGTCTCAAGTCTGGCGCAGAGAAAAATAGAATGAAGAAGTCATTTCAGAGTACGCCTTGAAAAACCAGAATTCTAAAAATATGAAGGTAAGGGACAGTCAAAAGAGAAGGGACCTGGGCATGGTGGCTAACACCTGTAATCCCAGCACTTTGGGAGGCAGAGGCCAGAAGATTGCTTGAGCCCAGGAGTATAAGACCAACCTGGGCAACATAACGAGACCTCATCTCTACAGAAAATAAAAAAAAAATTAGCTGGGTGTGGTGGTACACACCTGTAGTTCCAGTTACTCAGGAGACTGAGGCAGAAGGATTGCCTGAATTCAGGAAGTCGAGCCTACAATGAATGGTGATTATGCTACTGTACTGTGGCTTGGATGACAGAGTGAGACTGCCCACTCAAAAAAAAAAAAGAGAGAGAGAGAAGGGAAGGAGGGAAAAAGAGAAGTAAGATAGTCTCAACACCAAACAAAGAAAAAACTAACCAGCACCCACATTTCAGCGGGTTGAAACTTTTACGTTCATTTCTTTTTTAAGGAGTAAGTTGCCCTCTGCTGTTGAGTATACAACATTGCCATCTCTTAGGTAAAGAAATGCACGATTCTGGAATTTTCACTGGAAAGGATAATGTTTCTGAAGTGAAACCAGGGAAACTGGCACCCACTGGTGGTGGCATCATGACAGGGTTGGAACAGGCTGTGTGCTAGACTTCAACAATGGCCAAACCACCAAGGCTTAAATGAGATAGCCAAGGGGCCAGAAAGTTGCTGATGTTAAACCAGCATTCCTTTGAATTCTAATGTAGTTTTATCTTCTGTAACTGATTTTTTAAAAATCAGAGACTAGTTCACAGAGAAGAAACAGATGTATGAATTTAAAAAATAACCACAAAACTGAAATATATAGAGCAGTTACTTTTTTAAAGGATTTCTCCACAGAAATTATATATTCCCTAACGTTTATGATTTAGTGGAAATGCAGGTTATTATTTACTATAATTTCTTTCAAGTTCTATGATACAAAATAATGTGTAGAAGTGAATAAAATCACTGCCAAAGACTTTCCTAAAATTAAAGGAATAAACTGGTCATGGTGGCTCACATGTATAATCCCAACACATTGGGAGGCAGAGGCAAGAGGATTACCTGATCTCAGGGGTTCAAGACTAGCCCGAGCAACATGGTGAGACCTCATCTCTACAGTAAATAAAAAAATTAGTTGGGCAAGGTGGTGCATGCCTGTGGTTCCAGCTACCTTGAAGGCTGAGGTGGAAGGATCGCCTGAGCCCAGCAAGTCGAGGATGTGGTGGCCACGAGCATGTCACTGCATGCCAGCCAAGGCGACAGAGTGAGACACCCACTCAAAAACCAATCAATCAACCAATCCATCAAAGGAATAAATGATACTAGTTTTGTCCAAAGTTAAAAATAATGTTCCTTTTTCTAAAATTTGAATATAGCCATTATGTAGATGTGGAATAACAGTCCTTAATTATTCGTAACTACTAAAATTCTCAGAAATAAAGAAGGACAGTGTCTACTTTCTAAAAAAGATTTAAACAACATCAGAATGATACCAGTTTTTCTTGTGCATCATTTACTGAGTACATTAGTGTCAAATGTATCTTTTTTTGAATCAGAGTCTTACTCTGTTGCCCAGGATGAAGTTCAGTGGCATACTCACAGCCACCCCAGAATCGACCTGCTGGGCTCTGGCGATCCTTCCACCTCAGTCTTCCAAGTAGCCAAAACTACAGGCGCGTGCTACCACACCCAGCTAAGTTTTTTTTTTTTTTTTTTTTTTGAGTTGGAGTCTCACTCTGTCACTCAGACTGGAGTGCAGTGGCCGCTCCTGGCCACCACAGCCTCGACCTGCTTGGCTTCGGCGATCCTTCCGCCTCAGCCTTCCGAGTAGCTGGAATTACAGGCGCGTGCTACCACGCCCGGCTAATTTTTTTTTTTTTTATTTATTGTAGAGATAGGTCTTGCTGCTCAGGCGGGTCTTGAACCCGCGGGCTCAGGCAATCCACTCACCTCAGCCTCCCAAGGCGCGGGATTACAGGCTGAGCCACCGAGGTCTCACCATGTTACCAGGCTAGTCTTTTTCCCGTGGGCTCAGGCAATCCTCTCGCCTCAGCCTCCCAAAGTGCTGAGATTACAGGCTTGAGCTACCACGCCTAGCCAGAATGTATTTTTTTGGAGTTGGAGTCTCACTCTGTCACCCAGACTGGAGTGCAGTGGCCGCTCCCGGCCACCGCAGCCTTGACCTGCTGGGCTCTGGCGATCCTTCTGCCTCAGCCTTCCAAGTAGCTGGAACTACAGGAGCGCGCTACCACGCCCGGCTAATTTTTTGGTTTATTGGAGAGATGAGGTCTCGCCAAGTTGCCCAGGCGGGTCTCCAACCTGGGGGCTCAGGCAATCCGCTCACCTCGGCCTCCCAAAGTGCTGGGATTACAGGCTGAGCCACCGAGCCCGGCCCAGTATGGGTGACAGAATGAGACTTCAACTCAAAAAATAAATAAATAAAAATAAAATACTTTCTTTAGAATTGCAGCCAAAGCAATTGCTCTAATGTAATTTTTCACCTTTGAAAACTACATTTTGGGAAAAAATCACTCATTGGTGTTTGCTGTGTGATACTATTTTAAAGCAAAAGAAACCAATGTTACTCTATGTTTTGGTACACATATAATATAATATAAACACTTACTATCAATATATAATAAAATATGGAATTTATAATATAAACACTAAGGAGTTAGTAACTGATATTGCCAGTGGAAATATTATTATGGGTTATACTTATGCTGTTTTTGTTGGTGATACTTTCTGATTTTTATGTAATAGGCATACACTAATTTTGCTAAAAAAAAAAAAAAAAGAAAGTTTACTTCGTAAAAGTCAATTATGAAGCTCATCCCTGAAAAAAGTGAGACTGCAGAGCATATCCTGACCCTCCAAATTTCCCAGTATTACTCTGTACATGTTGTCACCTCTGCAATTCTGGAACTGTTTCAACATTATGTGCATACACGTCTAATCCTGACAGAGCAACTTTTTCTACTGCTTTAAGGTTTCCTCGAAAATCAGGGGTGAGACATTCCACAAGGATTTTTGGATTCCTATGGGGAAAAAGAGAAGTTTCAAACTGAGAGAAAGAATTGACATAACTGTTGCTTAAAACAGAAATTATCAATACTTATTCAGTATCAGTTTCAATGCAGCAATCTTCAGAACTTTGCCAAGAAAAGCATAAACATACAAATGCTCACACAAGAACTGTTATATTGCCGGGCTCGGTGGCTCAGCCTGTAATCCCGCGACTTTGGGGGGCTGAGGTGAGTGGATTGCTTGAGCCCACGGGTCCGAGACCAGCCTGGGCAACTTGGTGAGACCTCATCTCTACAATAAATCAAAAAATCAGCCGGGTGTGGTAGCGCACGCCTGTAATTCTGGCTACTTGGAAGGCTGAGGCGGAAGGATCGCAGGAGCCCAGCAGGTCGAGGCTGCGGTGGCCGGGAGTAGCCACTACACTCTAGTCTGGGCGACAGAATGAGACTCCAACTCAAAAAAAAAAGAACTATTGTCTTAAAAAATATCCAAAACATCAAAAACGATGTGCACAGTGGTTAAAACACATCTGTAGGCAAATAACAATCAGAATAAAATTTGAGATTATATTTGAGTAGGTTTTAGAAAAATAAAATTAAAGCCAGGTGTGGTGGCTCACGTAATCCCATCACTTGGGGAAGCTGAGTCAGGAAGACTGCTTTAGGCCAGGAGTTTGAGACCAGCCTGGGAGTGAGAACTCATCTCTACAAAAAACAAAACTAGCTGGGCACGGTAGTGCAAGCTTGTAGTCCCAGCTACTCAGGAGGCTGGGGTGGGAGGATCACGTAAGCCCAAAAGAATAAAAGTAAACAATTTTAAGAAATTAAAATATGAAATATTGAATAGAAAACAATACTTTTTTATTCTTTGAAAAGTAAATTTGGAAATTTCTTATATGAATGCAAATATTATTAGAATTCTTTACCTTTTCTTCCTTTCTATCTTTTTTTTGAGTCAGAGTCTCACTCTGTTGCCCAGGCAGAAGTGCAGTGGCATGCTAATGGCTACCGCAGTCTTAACTAGCTGGGGTCAGGCAATCCTTCCACCTCAGCCTTCCAAGTGGCTGGAACCATAGGCATGAGCCTCCATGCCTGGTTAATTTTTTGATTTACTGTAGAGATGAGATCTCGCCAAGTTGCCCAGGCTGGTCTCCAACCCCTAAGCTCAGGCAATCTTCTTGCCTCGGCTTCTCAAAGTGCTGGGATTACAGACATGAGCCAACATGCTCTTTCTTTAGAGACAGGGTCTTGCTCTGTTGCCCTGGCTGAAGTACAGTGGCACAATCATAGCTCATTGCAGTCTCGAACTCCTAGGCTCAAGTGACCCTATTGCCTCAGCCTTCTAAGTACCTAGGACTACAGGCGTGTGCCACCACACCCAGCTAATTTCTAAAAAAATATTGTTTATAGCAACAAGGTCTCGATATGTTGCCCAGGGTGGTCTTGAACTCTTGACCTTAAGTAATCCTCTAGCCTCAGCTTCCCAATGTGTTGACATTATAGCCATGGATCACTCAGCCCAGCCTGATTTCTTTTAAAATTCATCAAGCCGGGCTCGGTGGCTCAGCCTGTAATCCCGTGCCTTTGGGAGGCTAAGGTGCGTGGATTGCCCAAACCTGCGGGTTCGAGACCTGCCTGGGCAACTTGGCGAGACCTCATCTCTACAATAAATCAAAAAATCAGCCGGGCGTGGTAGCGCATGCCTGTAATTCCAGCTACTTGGAAGGCTGAGGCGGAAGGATCTCCGGAGCCCAGCAGGTGGAGGCTGTGGTGGCCGGGAGCGGCCACTGAACTCCAGTCTGGGTGACAGAGTGAGACTCCAATTCAAAAAAAATAAAAATAAAAAAAATAAAATTCATCAAAATAGTGCTCCCTCCCTTCCTCTAGGCAAATATTTCACAAGTGCTATGGGTTTTTTTGAGGGGGAGGGGTTTGAGTCAGAGTCTCACTCTGTCTCCTAGGCTGGAGTGCAGTGGCATGCGCATGGCCACTGCAGGCTCGACCTACTGGGCACAGGCAATCCTTCCATCTCAGCCAAGTAGCTGGAACTACAGGCATGCACCACCACACCTGGCTAATTTTTTTTGTTTATTGTAGAGACAAGGTCTGGCCAAGTTGCCCAGGCTGGTCTCAAATTCCTGGGTTCAGCCATTCCTCTCACCTCCACTTCCCAAAGTGTTGGGATTACAGGCGTGAGCCACATGTCTGGTCTATGTGCTATGAGTTTTAAAAACTATTTTCTGGGTTGCTGAGTCATGAGCTTTGTTTTAATGAAGTACTGTTTTCTGAGATGCTGAGTCATGAGCTTTGTTTAAATGAAGTACTGTATAAGCTAGACATGCATCTTCCTATTTCTATTTCAACTAAATCTAATTCATTAAAACATTTTCATGTGAACTAGGTCACAGAGCTGTTCCCTTTCTGAAACAGCTGACACCGTTTTCCACAAACCCAACAGCAAAGTGTCTCGAGCTCTTCCCTGAGAGAACAGATGTAGAAAGACTAAATGAGATAGCATATCCCATCATGACTATGAGACGGTCAGGGAATCTATCTGACAGCTCACTGTTTTATTAAACTGCAAGTTGAGACCCATGGAGGCTTATGAAATAAACAAAGTGGGTTGCAAACAGATTTCTCACAAATGAAGTATAACAAAAAGGAAATGCCAGGGCATCCTTGACAAAACATTTCCTAAGTATGCTAGGTGCTAGACTGGTACTGAGTTGTAGAAAATGAACATATCTTCTTTTTTATGCTTTTTAAATGCATGAAATTAAAATATTAATAAAAATGTAGATTTATGGGTAAGTTCCCAGGATATATGAATATGGAGAAAATCTGTACCAGGATTACATTTTGACAGTGGCAGAGCTTCTCTTATCCTAACTACTTCTAGATGATGATTTATCTGAAATCAGTGCTAAGAAAACTGCTCAAAGTTTAGGCTCTCGCTCAAATATGAGGGAGGAAATTCTATAGGCTAAAGGTCTATGGATAAGTTTGTGCCACTGAACCTCTAAAATTTTCTGCCAATATGTATCTGTACATGCAAATGTGTTTTTTCTGCAGAAATGAGCACACGATTTCCATCAGATTATCAGAAAACTATGAAACCCCCAAAGAGGTTAATAACCACAGTTTCCAGGTAAAGACCTGAGATAAACAGAACAAATATGGGTCTAAAAAGATCCTTAAGTTACACTAACAAATGCAAAAACAGTACCTTTCCTTCAAGTAGGATACAGTCTTTGCAATGTGTTCAGCTCCCCCATCAGGCAAATCTAGAAAGAAGAATCCACTGTCAAGATGATGTCACACCTTAGGAAGAGTCAATTTCTGGTAGAGGGTACAATGACACACTAACCATCTCGATCCACAGATGTCAGGACAACATAATCCAGACCCCACTCTGCAATTGCCTTTGCAGTATTGTAGGGCTCAGTGGCATCCAGTGGAAGAGGGTTTCTTGCAGTCTTAACAGAACAAAATCTGCAACCTCTTGTACATGTGTCACCCATCAACTAGGATAGAGATGTTACAATTTAAATTAAATAGATGACCCCCAAGAACATGATGTAGAGAATGAAGTTGCAAAAAATGTGTACAGTCTGGTTCTTTTTTTTTTTTTTTTTTGAGTTGGAGTCTCACTCTTGCCCAGACTGGAGTGCAGTGGCCACTCCCGGCCACTGTAGCCTCGACCTGCTGGGCTCCAGCGATCCTTCCACCTCAGCCTTCCAAGTAGCCGGAATTACAGGCATGCGCTACCACACCCGGCTGATTTTTTGATTTACTGTAGAGATGAGGTCTCGCCAAGTTGCCCAGATGGGTCTCGAACCCGCGGGCTCAGGCAATCCACTCACCTCAGCCTCCCAAAGCGCCGATTACAGGCTGAGCCACCAAGCCTGACTTTTTTTTTTTAACAGAAAGACTGCTCTCAAACTCCTGGGCTCCAGCAATCCTTCTGACTTGGACTCCCAAAGTTGGGATTACAAGTGTAAGCCACCATGCCTGGCCAATCAGGTTATAGTTCTGTTTATAAGAAATTTAGGCTGGGCTCAGTGGCTCACATCTGTAATTCTAGGACTTTAGGAAGCCGAGGTGGAAGGATTACTTGAACCCAGAAGTTCAAGGCCAGCCTAGGCAACATAGTGACATCTCATCTCTACAAAAAAAATTTTAAAAATTAGCTGAGTGTGGGGGTGCATTCCTGTTGTCCCAGATACCCAGGGGGCTGAGGTTGGAGTATCACCTGAGCCCAGGAGTTTGAGGCTGTGGTGAACCATGAGTGTGCTATTGCACTGCAGCCTAAGTGATAGAGTGAGACTATGATTAAAAAAAAAAAAAGGAAACTTGAAATATACATTCAAAACATAATACAAAGTTAAGAAACACAAATATATGTAGCAAAACCAGAAAGAAAGAGAGTTGATAAACTCAACATTAAGAATTGTATTAAGAGAAGAGAAAAGGGGATGGGATCAGGAAGGGACACATATTAAAGTTAAAATAGTTAAAAACAATTTAAAAAAAAAGAATTTTTGAGTCGGGATCTCACTCTGTTACCCAACTGGAGTGCAATGGCATGTTGATGGCTCACCACAGCCTCAACCTCCTGGGCTCAGATAATCCTTCTGCCTCAGCCCCTGGAGTTGCTGGGACTGCAGGCACACACCAACATGCCTAGCTAGTTTTTAAATTTTTTTGTAGAGACGAGGTCTTGCTACATTACCTAGGCTGGTCTCGAACTTCTGGGCTCAAGTGATCCTTCCTCTGCATCTGGCCAAAAAATAGGATTCTAATATACAGTTTGCAGGGTACATAGGGAGGATTCAAAGATAATGCTAGGCCAGGCAGAGTGGCTCAAGTCTGTAATCCCAGCACTTTGGGAGGTCAAGGTGAGAGGATTGCCTGAGCCCATGTGTTCGAGACCAGCCTAGACAACTTGGCGAGACCTCATCTCTACAATAAATCAAAAATTAGCCAGACATGGTAGCATGCATATGTAGTTCCAGCTACTTGGAAGGTTGAGGCGGAAGGATCATCTGAGCCCAGCAGGTCGACACTGGGGTGGCCATGAGCGTGCCACTGCACTCCACTGTACTCCAGCCTGGGTGACAGAGTGAGACTCCAACTCACAAAAATAAAAAAATAGCCAGGCGTGATAGCTCATGCCTGTAATCCCAGCACTTTGGGAAGTGGAAGTGAGAGCCCAGGGGTTTGAGACCAGCCTGGGCAACTTGGCGAGGCCTCATATCTACAATAATTCAAAATATTAGCTGGGCATGGTGGTATACTCCTGTAGTTCCAGCTGCTTGGAAGGCTGAGGTGGAAGGATCACCTGAGTCCAGCAAGTTGAGACTGTGGACGCAGTGAGTGTGCCAGTGCACTCCAGTCTGGGTGAGTGAGACTCCAGCTCAAAAAACAAAAATAAAGAATTTAAAAAAATAGATGAAACATAAAACACATAAAAAGTTAAGCAATCATAAATGACATTTCCAAAAATTAATAAAGGAGATACCTCAAGATAGCACAGGACTATCAGAAAGACAGAAGAATAATAGATTTATTCAGAGAACGGTGAGATCACAAAAGGTTAGATGATTACATCAGGTTTTTTCTTCATATTTTTCATGAACTCACAAGTAGAAAAAAACCTGACCATCACTTCATAATGCAGACCCTAGGAGGAAGATACATCTCCCCTTTCTGTTGCTAGACTCAAGCTGCAAGGGTTGAGGCTGGCCTTACCATGATGGTGGCTGTGGCAGTGGCATATTCGCCACCTCCCCAACATTCTCCTATATTGGGACATCGAGCTTCCTCGCATACCTGTGATTAATAGGAGATGGAATATAGTCAGGTTAAAAATATCCACCAACTGAACAACTGGAGATTGTGATTAGACATTGTACACTGCCCGTTGTTTACAATTTATTTTTGAAAAAATTCACCATTCAAAAATGCAACCAAACTGTATATAAGAATACTGGTGGTTTTTTTTTTTTTCCTGAGTTAGAATCTCACTCTGTCACCCAGGCTGGAGTGCAGTGGCATGCTCACGGCCACTGCAGCCTCGACCTGCTGGGCTCAGGCAATCCTTCCGCCTCAGCCTTCCAAGTAGCTGGAACTAAAGGCCTGTGCCACCACGCCCAGCTGATTTTTTTGATTTATTGTAGAGACAAGGTCTTGCCATGTTGCCCAGGCTGGTCTTGAACATATGCGCTCAGGCAATCTTCTTGCCTTAGCCTCCCAAAGTGCTGGGATGAGCGCGAGCCACTGCACCTGGCTTGGTAGGTGTTTTGTTTTGCTTTTTTTGAGACAGGATCTCACTCTACTACCCAGGCTAGGGTGCTCAAGGCAGCCTCAACCTCCCTGTCTCAAGGGATTCTCCCACCTCAGCCTCCCAAGTAGCTAAGACTAAAAGTACATGCTATTATACTCAGCTAATTTTTCATTTTTTTGTCATGACAAAGTCTTGCTGTGTTGCCTGGGCTGGTCTTGAACTTCTGGCCTCAAGTGATCCTCCTACCTCAGCCTCCTAAAATGTTGGGATTACAGGCGTGAGCCACCACACCCAGCCAGGATCCTTTATTTATTTATTTATTTTTTGAGTCGAGATTTTATCCTGTCGCCCAGACTGGAGTGTGAGTACACGGTCACAGCTCATCACAGGTTCAATCTCCTGGGCTGAGGCGACCTTTCTAACTCAGTCTCCTGAGTAGCTAGGACTACAGGTGCACGTTACCATGCCTCAGTAATTTTTAAATTTTAATATTTGGTAGAGATGAGATCTCACTATATTGCCTAGGCTGGTTTTGAACTCCTGGGCTCAAGCAATCCTCCCACCTCAGCCTCCCAAAGTGCTGGGATTACATATATGAGCCTCTGCACCCAGTCAAGGATCCCACTTTTAAAATGTAGACTTTCTGAATTTATATACTTTATATGGATAAAGAACAAGGTCTGCAAGGACATATAATGGACAGTTAAAGGGTGTGGTTAGGCTGGGCACAGTGGCTCACACCTGTAATCCCAACACTTTGGAAGGTCGAGGTGTAAAGATTGCCTCAGCCCACGGGTTCGAGACCAGCCTAGGCAACTTAGCGAGAACTCATCTCTACAATAAATTAAAAAATTGCTGGGTGTGGTGGCGTATGCCTGTAGTTCCAGCTACTTGGAAGGCTGAGGCAGAAGGATCACCTGAGCCCAGCAGGTGAGTGTGCCACTGCACTCCAGCCTGGACAACAGAATGAGAATCCAATTCAAAAACAAAAAATTAGTAAGAGTTATATAAATAACAGCAAGGAAAGTGAATAAAAGTGTTAAGTGATACATTATTACCAGCAATGGAAATACACTGAAAATCATTTTTTCTGCAAAAAAGACTTTTTCCCCCTACAACTTGAAAAACAAGGTTTCATTTGTTTTATATTACAAATTAAGTACATGTCTGTTGGAAAGAGTATAAAATTAAATGTGAAACTATGTCACATACATGATGTCAAATGTAAACCACACCCCCCCCACCCTTTTTTTTTGTTGGCGTCTCACTCTGTCGCCCAGCCTGAAGTGCAGTGGCACACTCACGGACACTGTAGCCTCGACCTGCTGGGTTCAGGTGATCCTTCTGCCTCAGCCTTCCAAGTAGCTGGAACTAGAGGTGCACACTACCATGCCCTGTTTATTTTTGATTTATTGTAGAGATGAGATCTCCCCAGGTTGCCCAGGCTGGTCTCGAACCCCTGAGCTCAGGCAATCCTCTCTTCTCTGCCTCCCAAAGTAATGGGATTATAGACTTGAGCCACTGCACCTGGCCTATTACTAATTTTTAAGTTATATATATGTAGAAACATTATGGCGTTCAGTTAAGAGGGACAGTCAACACTTTGACAACTTACTGTATGGAGATTTAAATTTCGCAAAGTATTTTTCAGTTTATTGTAATTCTTCCCCATGGGAATCTCTGTCTTTAGCCATGGAGGTAGTCTCAACCTAAGGAAAGCCAGACATAACTATATATTAATAAACATGTTGCCAAATAATCACACAGCTTTGAAAATACTTTGCTCTATTATAATTCCCAGTTAACAATTTTTTCTGTAATCCTGGACTAACTCTTACAATTTCTGCTAACGGTGTAAGAACAGAAAATCAAATTTAGCTTTGCTCAAACCACTTTAGAAGACACCAACAATGGCATCTAACAGGACACTATACCTATGTCTACCTTTTATAAAGGAACAGTTATACCATTTTAATAAAATGAGAAAGTTTTTGAACATCTCATTTCCTTGTGAATAATACTGTCAAAAAGTACTACATCTGTTCAGAGTAAGGAAAGATTCCAACTGTATGCTATCTGCTTTACATTCTAGATTTTATGGTGGTTATTCAACAGGGAAAAAAATCTCAAATTTGAGGTGGAGACAATGTTATCCTTCGTTCTCCTTGACTTCTACCCACTTGTGATCTAGAAGTTGTCAGATAATGTATCTCCCAAAACACTTTGCTCTTTGCATGACATTCCCTCACCATTATTGTAAATTAAGGCAAGGTATTCATAGACCATATGTAAATTGACTGGAAGAAGCAATAAGTTAGATCAACAATCAAAAATGTATCAAGATCTATTAGATTAGAAGCCATGCAGTAACCTTCACTCTGAAGAAATTAGATGCTGGTAGAAAATAAGGAGATGGTAGTATAAAATGGTAAGGGCCTAGAGGAGAAAAAGAAAAAGTCCAACAACTACACCTACTTATCTGTTCTATCTAGGTCTGTTATCACTTCTTTTCTTCTTTTTTTTTTTTTTTGAGCCAGGTCTCACTGTGTCGCCCAGGCTGGAGTGCAGTGGCATACTTATAGCCACCGCAGCTTTGACCTGCTGGACTCAGGTGATTTTTCTGCCTCAGCTTTCCAAGTAGCTGGAACCACAGGAGGGCGCCACCACACCTGGCTAATTTTTTGATTTATTGTAGAGACGGAGGCTCATCAAGTTGCCCAGGCTGGTCTTGCACCCCTGGACTCAGGCAATCCTTTCGCCTCTGCCTCCCAAAGTGCTGGGATTACAGGTATGAGTCACCATGCCTGGCTTGTTATCACTTCTTTCTAAAGACTTTTAGCTAAATTTAACAAGTCTGAAATTAAAAATACACTCTAGGGCTTGGTTATATCTTAAGATAATGCAAAATGAAGGAGACATTAAAATTATCTCAAATTTTATTTTTTATTTTCTTTTTTTCTGAGTTGGAGTCTCACTCTGTCGCCCAGACTGGAGTGCAGTGGCCGCTCCCAGCCACCACAGCCTCGACCTGCTGGGCTCCGGCGATCCTTCCGCCTCAGCCTTCCGAGTAGCCGGAATTACAGGCATGCGCTACCACGCCCGGCTGAGTTTTTGATTTATTGTAGAGATGAGGTCTCGCCAAGGTGGCCAGGCGGGTCTCGAACCCACAGGCTTAGGCAATCCACTCACCTCAGCCTCCCAAGACGCGGGATTACAGGCTGAGCCACCGAGCCTGGCTTCAAATTTTCAATTACCTTTCTCCTTTCTGTCGCTTTAAGTTTCCTTTATATTCATCCCAGGTGCTCTTGTCTGCAAGATCACCAGATACAAAATCTTGAAGGTCTGGTCCATTCTGTAAAAATTCCTTTCTTTGGTCTGGCAAGGAACTTAATGGTCTGACTGGGCTGCATAAATATCGTCCAAATACCTACAGAAAGAGAACATTATGGCATTCATTTAGTGAGGGTCTGGAATAATTTAGTTTTAACCCATTATAATATCGAAAAGGCAGGATAAAGCCAAGTATCCGATTCTGAAACTCTATCAAACTATTTAGGAGTTTCAGTTGCTTAGAAGATTGGAATACAAGATTAAAGACGATTCAAGGAGAGGGACCCCAACCTAGAGGAGGGAGGAGATAACTTTCTGCTACTAGATTTATTTATTTATTTATTTATTTTTGAGTTGGAGTCTCACTCTGTCACCCAGACTAGAGTGCAGTGGCTGCTCCCGGCCACCGCAGCCTTGACCTGGTGGGCTCCGGCGATCCTTCCGCCTCAGCCTTCCGAGTAGTTGGAACTACAGGCATGCACTACCACGCCCGGCTGATTTTTGATTTTATTGTAGAGATGAGGTCTCCCTGCCCAGGCGTGTCTCGAACCCACGGGCTCAGGCAATCCACTCACCTCAGCCTCCCAAAGGCGTGGGATTACAGGCTGAGCCACCGAGCCCGGCTTGCTACTAGATTTAAACTAGACTTGGGGGCGAGAATTCTACCACTGAACCACCAGTGCTAAAACAGATTTGGAAACCTTTGGAACCATCTAACACATGCCACCCCTTCACATACTCCACCTAACAGGCACTAACTACAAGTCTGTCGTCCAAAAAGTTTGAACTGCAATAACTGTGATAAGGTCCTCCAGCTTTAGGTTGTCTGTTCTGGACTGGAGTCAGGGACTTTTAAAAGAAAATTTGCAATAAATCTCTCTGGATAAGCATTAAGTGATAAATAAAGGTAATCACCAGTTGGTTTCAGTTGTGTTTGAACATGGCTGTCACTCAATATAGAATTGTTGAGCCTAAAAAAATCATGTTCTGGCCTGGCTCGGTGGCTCAGCCTGTAATCCCCCGCTTTGGGAGGCCGAGGTGAGTGGATTGCCTGGGCCCGCGGGTTCGAGACCCGCCTGGGCAACTTGGTGAGACCTCATCACTACAATAAATCAAAAAATTAGCCGGGCGTGGTAGCGCGCGCCTGTAGTTCCAGCTACTTGGAAGGCTGAGGCGGGAGAATCACTGAAGCCCAGCAGGTCGAGGCTGCGGTGGCCGGGAGCGGCCACTGCACTCCAGTCTGAGCGACAGAGTGAGACGCCAACTCAAAAGAAAAGAAAAGAAAAAAAAAAAAAAGAAGCATGTATTTAGCTTCTCTATCTGAACACAAACGTGCATGAGACATGAAAAACAAGTATGAAATTCACGCGTCAGTACATGTAATGCAAAGGAACCTCAATCATTCAGAGTGCCTGTTGGGGGCTGCACAATTGCTCCTGCGCTTGTCCGGGTCTCCAGCCAAAGCCTAGAAGACAGGGTTGCAGTAGCTAGACTAGGGCTTAATACACAGTACGAGCCCAATACAGGGTGGTTACTTGGGGTGCTCCCTGCAGTGCCCCACTAAATATAGGCAGAAAAAAAGTCTTCGATGCCTGCCCAGAGAGATGGTCCAACAAACCACTGCCAGAGACTGTATTTCGTGGGGGGTGGCAGGAGAGTTAAATGAGATGCTACACGAAAAATATTTAGAAGTGTGCCTAAGCCGGGCTCGGTGGCTCAGCCTGTAATCCCGCGCCTTTGGAAGGCTGAGGTGAGTGGATTGCCTGAGCCCGCGGGTTCGAGACCCGCCTGGGCAGCGAGACCTCATCTCTACAATAAATCAAAAAGTTAGCTGGGCGTGGTGGCGCATGCCTGTAATTCTAGCTACTCGGAAGGTTGAGGCGGAAGAATCGCCGGAGCCCAGCAGGTCGAGGCTGCGGTGGCTGGGAGCGGCCACTACACTCCAGTCTGGGCAACCGAAGGAGACTCCAACTCAAAAAAAAAAAAAAACAAGTGTGCCTGGCTAGAAGTCAATGCTCAATAAACGTTGGCCTTTATTACTGGGCGATTGGAAGGCAAGGGAGCCCCCACCCCACGCCCGAATCTTGCTCTCCCCGCCGCTCACCCGCGGCCCCAGAATGCAGACGGCGTCCCTGCAGCGTAGAGACATCCCCTCTTTAGGCCTCGCGCGATCGAGGGGCCTGGGTGATCACTAACTCCCGGGACAGGACAAGTGGAAAACCGTCGCTCTGTTGATGACGAAAAGTTGAAGATCTTGAGGTGCTCCCCGATTGGCCGTTTTCGCTTTACGTGTCGTCGCTCACGCATGACGCAATACGCAGACTCCCTTACTGGATACAAGAACGTGATGACGAAAGGCGCTTTCTCTTTGCCGCATCTACTGCAAGGTGAGCCTGTTTCTGTACTCTGCAGGCTTCAGGAATCTGAAGCCATCGGCTCTGGGAAAGCTGCGGCGCGGCTACGACGCTCGGAACCCTTATCCTTGTTGTTCCTCGGCTCGAAACGCGCAGTATGGAGCTGGCAGTGCCAGGATGCGAGTCCTGTTCTGGGCTTTTAGGCCTACCCTCGCTCCTTGCCGGGATGGCGCCGCAGGGATAACACTTTCAGGGTTGGGCGGAGCGGGACTTCGCCCGCTGGGCCTCACGATACTCCCTTTGGGGCTGCTCCTTCCTGGCCGGGACGCACCGGGGGCCCCTGTTGATGTCGCGCCTCCTATAGCCGGTATTTCTGAGTAGCTGTCCCCAGTAGGAGTGGCGCTCTTGTGCGGTGTAGGTGGGTGGAAAACAGGACCCTCGCCGGCTTCTTACGAGTGTTTGTGTTTCAGAATGAAGACCATTCTCAGCAATCAGACTGTCGACATCCCGGAAAATGGTAGGACACTTGTTTTGCTGTTGCAGCTTTGTGGCATGTCCCAAGTAAGCCTCGTTCTGTAGCCTCACGAGTACATTCTCTCCACCAGTCGACATCACCCTGAAGGGACGCACAGTTATCGTGAAGGGTCCCAGAGGAACCCTGCGGAGGGACTTCAATCACATCAATGTAGAACTCAGTCTCCTTGGGAAGAAAAAGAAGAGGGTGAGTCTTTTGGAGGGGGAGAGGGCACTTCAGTGGCTTGTTTGGAAGGTAGTGATTTATGACAGCATCAAGTTGGGTTGCTTTAAACGTTTCCGAATTGAGGTTCAGTGGTTTGTTGGTTTGTTTGTTTTTTGAGTTGGAGTCTCACTCAGTCGCCCAGACTGGAGTGCAGTGGCTGCTCCTTCCACTGCAGCCTCGACCTGCTTGGGCTCCAGCGATCCTTCCGCCTCAGCCTTCCAAGTAGCTGGAATTACAGGCGCGAGCTACCACGCCCGGCTGATTTTTTTGATTTATTGTAGAGATGAGGTCTGGCTGCCCAGGCGGGTCTCGAACCCGCGGGCTCAGGCAGTCCATTCACCTCAGCCTCCCAAAAGCGCGGGATTACAGGCTGAGCCACTGAGCCGGCCAGTGTTTTGACTACAAAATTTGGCGACCAGAAAAGTTGGCCAGTTTTGCTTTAGTGAAGTTGGAAAACCAGATTCTAAATACAGTGTATCATAAATCGCAAAACCAGTAGTGATCCTCAGTGGCAGGTCTTCATGGTGATACGAGTTTACTTTATTTTCCCTGTGATGGCTTTGCAAGAGTCTCAGGATCCAGGCAGTGGGTCTTTTAAACCTGATTTCACTTTCCAGAAGTGACATTTGTTGCAGCTCGTACAAAAATGGGTGTTTGGGGGAGGAGAGTCTGTCATTCCTTTGTGAAACTGTGTACCTGGAATGTGTAGTAATAAAAACGTTTAACTGTCGGAGGCTTTTGTATGTGGTTTGCTTTTTCTAGTTGAAAGTCGTGTGTTTCAGTTACAGCTAATTCTGAAATCTAGAGAAATACGGAGACTAAATTCACTGCTTGGCTTCAACTTACTTATTTCTGGAAGGAGACTTCTAACGTTTTTGTTCTATTACAGCTCCGGGTTGACAAGTGGTGGGGAAATAGAAAGGAACTGGCCACTGTCCGTACTATTTGCAGTCATGTACAGAACATGATCAAGGGTGTTACACTGGTAAGCGGATAGTCGGGCATCTTTTTTTTTTTTTTTTTAAGAGACAGTTTCTCATCCATCTTTTATGTATACAACATAAGTGTACTGGAGAGAGTGGATTATGCAAGCATTTTGGTGAGCTGTGTGAATTGTAGAACCTGGCAAATAGGCGTCCGTGGGTCTTGAGAATTAAGTGATAAATGTGGGTAAAGACCAGATGGGTGCAACTTTTAAAAAGTACGCTAATGGTGATTTTCACACAAAGTGAGGTTTGCACCTTCCAGGTGTTTCTTAAAATAGAAATCTGCTATAGCTGCAGTATGTAGGGCAGACTTTACTAGTTGGCATGGTTTACCATCAGGATCTTGCGGTAAAGAAAGATCTAATTTCTGAGCTCCTTGTGCATTGTCTTAAGTGTGATGTCACTTAAGGCAAGTACCTGACATCACTATTCCAAACCCCACCCTCAACACGTTCATGCTGACATAGTTGTCTTTACATTAAACCTTCTAGTGTATACCTTATAATGACACCCTATACGTAGTTTTATGCAGATATGGAGATTTCCCTGTCTGCCCTTACTCTCAAACTAAGCTCTTTGAAGGCGGGGGTCCTGTCCTGTCTTGTTTGGCTTGACTGCTGGTCATCTGGTGTAGCTTAGTGACTCTGTGTTAGTTTAATGAGATGAGGTTCTCATTAAAAGGAGCTAGCTTTGTTTATTTAGGCATAAGAGAGTGAAATAGTTAGAAAACCTTAACAATGAGTGCTGTGTGAGGACCGCTACATTTTAAAGTAAATATTTAAGGACTGCAAGTGCAGATTTTCTACATTAGTAATACTGTATTGTGTAGTAGTAAAGTCTGCTCTTAGTGTGCCTGACACACTAAGTGCTCTTAGTGAATACTGTACCCAGTAGGTAATTTTTTCAATTCCCATCTACCCCACCTTCTGTAGTCTCTGGTGTCTGTTATTCCATTCTCTGTCCATTTGTACCCATTGTTTAGCTTTCAAGTTAAGAATCTTAGGAAATTAAAAAGACTGGTTTTAAAATTTTTTTCAGGATTGCTAATAGCCTGGTTTGTTTTTTGTTGTTTAAACACAGGGCTTCCGTTACAAGATGAGGTCTGTGTATGCTCACTTCCCTATCAACGTCGTTATCCAGGAGAATGGGTCTCTTGTGGAAATTCGGAATTTCTTGGGCGAAAAATACATCCGCAGGGTTCGGATGAGGCCAGGTATGTGCATGCCATATCCTAAGATATAATTTGGGAATTTTCCCCTTCATACTTTTTTGTTTGTTTTTGAGTTGGAGTCCAACCTGTCATTCAGGCTGGCGTGCAGTGGCATGCTCACAGCCACTGCAACCTCTACCTGCTGGGCTCAGGCAATCCTTCTGCCTCAGCCTTCCAAGTAGCTGGAACCACAGGCGTGCACCACCACACCCAGCTAATTTGTTTGATTTATTGTAGAGATGAGGTCTCGCCAAGATGCCTGGGCTAGTCTCAAACCCCTGGGTTCAGGCATTCCTCTCACTTTGCTCTCTCAGAGTGCTGGTATTACAGGCATGAACCACTGCGCCTGGCCAGAAATTTTTATTTTATTTTGAGTCGGATTCTCACTCTCTTGCCCAGGCTGGAGTGCAGTGGCATGCTCAAAGCCACCACAGCCTCAACCTGCTAGGCTTTTGCGATCCTTCTGTCTCAGCTTTCCCTTTCAAGTAGCCAGAACTACAGGTGTGTGCTACCACACCTGACTAATTTTTTGATACATTGTAGAGATAAGGGCTCACCAGGTTGCCCAGGCTGGTATCGAACCCATGGGCTCAGGCAGACCCCTCACCTTGACCTCCCAAAGTGCCAGGATTACAGCTTGAGCCACTGTGCCTGGCTGAAATTACCAAAAATATGTATGTGATTGTATGTATTTATGGGTACAACGTGATGCTTCAATACATGTATACATTGTGGAATGACCAAATATGATTGGTTAATGTATTCATCACCTCACTTCTTTATGGTGAGAACATTTAAAATCCAGAAATATCATTTGAATAGTGGTTAATGAGTTAAAATAGAAAACAACTCTGCTTACTTAATGCACAGGAAGCGAAGCTTTTAAAAAATTTTAAAGCAGCCAGTTGTGGTGGCTCGTGCCTGTAATCCCAGCACTTTGGGAGGTAGAGGTGAGAGGATTGCCTGAGCCCAGGGGTTCAAGACCAGCCTGGGCAACTTGGCAAGACAATAAATCAAAAAAAATGAGCCAGACGTGGTGGCGCACACCTGTGACTCCAGCTACTTGGAAGGCTGGGGTGGAAAGATTGTCTGAGCCCAGCAAGTTGAGGCTGTGGTAACTGAGCATGCCACTGCCCTCCAGCCTGGGCAGGAGTGACTGGGGGAAAAAGTTTTGGTTGTTTTTTTTTTAAACTTAATGCTCTCTTAAATGCTTTTTTATTCCATTGGAGTGAGAAGAAGGGAGATTCTTAGTGCCAGGTTAGTGGCTTTCCAGAAGTATTCTGATACTAGCTATGGTCAGCATTTAGTGAAAACTTGTAAAAAAACAAACAAACAGTAAAGACTTGGTACAAAGCTTTGTACAACTAAATTTTACTGAGTACCTTAATTGAATCACCAGAAAGAGTCACTGTGGGACTGTGATTTTGGGACACTAATAAGATTTTGGTCCACATAAGTCGGATGTTGTAAATACCAAAATCTCAGATTCATTTGGTGCATGTAATTTTAAATAGAATAAATTACTACTCTTCCAATTTAACTTTTTTTCTTATACAGAGTTTTATTTTGACACACTACAGTTGCCCTCTCCCCTTTTAGGTGTTGCTTGTTCCGTATCTCAAGCCCAGAAAGATGAATTAGTTCTTGAAGGAAATGACATTGAGCTTGTTTCAAATTCAGGTTTGTATGATTACTATGTCTAGTGTCTACAGAATTTTGTCTAAATCTGGTATTTTACTCGTTTCACTTGATTCAGTGTTTATAATCTGAGGATTATAAAGGTATCTCAAAGATCGTCTGAGATTTTTAACTATGGTGTGAGTTCAGCTGATGTAGTAATTGCTTTATCTTCACTCCTATAGCTGCTTTGATTCAGCAAGCCACAACAGTTAAAAACAAGGATATCAGAAAATTTTTGGATGGTATCTATGTCTCTGAGAAAGGAACAGT